GAAAGTGTTCTGCGTGTAAATTGGAAAAAAGGACTCCCAGAAGTCCTAAGATTGTGAGGTGAAAGCCCTGGGGCCAGAGGTGGGCTGCCTTCCTGTGAGCTGTTGGCCAGTGAGGCACCCACACCTAGAAGAGCTAGATGGTGAGATGTCCAACACCTTGGCTGAAGAACATGGAGAAATCAAGTTGGGACTGAGCCAAAACTTCTCCCCTGTTGGCTAGCTGCAAGTGTTTCTCAGGTTGTTAGTGTGAGATAGAATCTTCATACTACACTACTAACATGATAGGGAACCAAATGATGCAATAACAGCATAACTGTTAAGGGTACAGCTAACTGCTTTTCAAGTGGATCTTAAGACTTGCTCCACAGGAGGGAACTCATATTTGGTACCATAAGGGCAAAATCTGGGGATATCATAGCCCCCATGTAGAAGCAACTACTGTTGTTTTGTTAAACGGATGCAACATGCCTATCAAATTGCCTTGAGAACATCTGTGTCTACATCCATAGACACTGCTGTTGTTGGCTTCTATCCTGGAAGGAAACTTCCTATTTTTGCAATGGACAGTGACTATTGCAGTTACTGCATACCCAGTTAAGCTGCTAACAAAAAAAAAAAAAAAAAAAAAAAATTATTCTTGCTATGGTATAGTGAACCATGTTCTGTAAGAGGAAGATAACCATACATGGGATATGGACATTGTTGGTTAATTTTATTGAGGGGAAATCTCTTACATGAGAAACTGATAGTCCAGGTTAGTGCTCTGAGCATCCAGTCTCAGCAGCTCTCCAAGACCGGACCAGAACCCCGAGAGAGGATGAGTGTCCCTCTCCTTAGGCCTTTATCCCACACGCCCTGTAAGCACCTGAGGCCATGCCCAAACTGGTGTGGCCAGCGCCACAGATACCTACAGGTCTCTCCCTACAATGTTCAAGCATAAATGGAAAAAAAAAATCAACTGCATCACCCCCTCTAAGGCCCAGGGTACACTGTGGATGATGGGGTATAAAGAGCCAGAGACAGGGGATGTGTTGTGTGGCTACTTCTGTTGTATAGTAACACACCTCTTAAGGAAGGAGGCCTGCAAGATTTAGGAAGTTAACAAAACTTAGGGGGTGCAGGAAGTTCATAAGGTTAAAAAGACCATTCTCCAAGATTATATGGACAGTCAACAGCCACCGGTGGAGTGAAGGCAGCCCCAGGGCAAGCTTCTTTGAGGTGTCGTCATGCCAGGTGAGCCTTTCAGTGCTGCAGCTGCCTTTGAGTCATCTCTGCTCCTGCATACCCCCATCCATAACCCTCTAGGGAACCCCAGTGGCTTGCCAAGCTAGACTTGAGGGAATCATTTCTTCAAGCTGTTTTCAGCAACTCACACCACACAATACACACTGAGTGGTCAGGGCATGGTATAGCAATAGGCCCTGGAATGTGACTAGGACCCAGTCTATTCATGTTCCTGAAGGGAAGAAACAGACATTTCCTACTGCAGTATAGTCTGCTCTTCAGCAGGAGTCTACGGCTTTACCTCTGCCCTAGCCAGGAGGGTCACACAGCCTTGTCACCAACGCTTCTATATAGGTCTGTGGGCTAGGGTAGCCCCAACCTTTGTCCTCTCAGACATACTCCTAAAGGTGCTTCACAGAGAGCTATGAAAACATGCTGCAGTGGGGCCTGGAGAGAGATTAAGTGCACTGGCATCTCTTCCAGGGGACCCAGGCTTCATTCCAGCACTCATGGGACAGTTCACAACCATCTGCAACTCCAGTCAGTTCCAGGGAATCTAATGCTTTTAGACATATGCACAGGCCAAACGCCTAACACACCAAATAAATAAAAAGTATGCTGAGGTGGAAGGCTGTGCCCAATGTACTGTGCTGTACAGGCTGCTTTGGATGGGGGTTTGTCCATCCTAGGTGAGCCTCAACTGTGCTTCATAGCTGAGTGTGACCTGGGGTGTCTAGTTCTCAGGCCTCCACATCCAGAGGGCTGGGATGATTAGGCATTCACCTTGTGGCTTGGTTTTATGTGGTGCTGTGTGTGGGTCAAACTCAAGGCTTCATGTGAGCTAGCCAGACTCTGCCAACTGAGCTATATATATTCCCAGCCCCTGTTCTGAGAAATGCCCCAGCTCCAGGCTTCCCAGACTCCAGGGAGAAGGAATGACAGTGGGAATCTGAGTAGCCTGTCGAGGCTGTCAGGCCAGATGTAGAGTGGGCATCTACCTTATGTGTCTAAATACAAGAATCGGGACCAAGTCTGCATCGTATTTCAAGTTTGAGCTTTGCCATGACATACACTCCCTTTACGATCCATCTGTGAAACACAGATCTCTATGCCTCAGCCTTCTACCTTCAGACTCGGAAAGGTCAGACAGTATGCGGCCACGTGGTAACTGACAACAGCTGTCACTGCCACGGCCAAGTCTAGTCCTTGAGGCAGGGGGATGACAACACAAGACCGAGAATGGCACAGGACTTCCATTAGGTGAACAGGGTCCTCACACCTCTCTGTCACCATCAGAATGGCTTCAATGTCTTCATCAGTACAACAGGAGTGTAGATCTTTTTTCTGTGACATCAAGAGTTTTTTTGCTAAAGCCACTGCATGGTTGGGAAACTGTCTGAATCCCTGGAAGTGCTTCAGGAAGTCTGGTCTGGTGCCAGCCAGCTTGTTTGTAGGCTGGCTACAAATGAAGCAGTCATTGAGCTAGTGGCTAATGAGGGCCATGATAGATCTCCAGTTCCCAGAATGAGCCGCGGGGACAGCTGCATGCCAATAAGTGAATTGTCATTTAGAAGCCAGCTTCTATTAAAACATGACTTCCTAGGAGCTGCACAATGCAGCCCTGACTGCCCTGGTAACCCCAGACTCTATCCCCAAGGTCTGCCCTTCCCCCAGCTTCTCAATTAGTAATTGCCTGTCTGTCATCTTCCCTCTGAGTTGAAAACCAAAGCCAAGGGCCATGTTGTGGCTGATGCCACTGTTCTGCTGGCCTGGCTCCAGCCTAGATAGTATCTGTCTTCCTCAGCACCCCCTCACTTCCTCTCAGATGGGTATGCAGAGCATCAGAGAAGTCAGCAGCTGCCACCAGCCACCCTTTAGAGGCTGGTGAGGTAATCCCCAACGCAGGGTGAAAGGGGCTCTGTGTGGAGGAGAGAGTCTGACTGTGTCTCTCGGTCCCCAGGAGCGCTTCACTGGTGTCCTGGCACCAAGAGCATAAGAAAAGCTACCCCGGACTTCCTTGCCTCCACAAAAGCATCATTCACTCTACAGCACACACAGGCCGCAGTGAAGATTTCAATACAGTGGCAGGCAGGAAGCCCCGTTGAGGTCACTGATCACCCCACTCCCACCTTATTTGGGGGTTTCTTTTGTAGAGGGGGAAGGCACATGGCAAAAAGAAAAAAAAAAAAAATGTGAAGGCTGGCTATCTCAGCTGTCACCTGGGCTGAGGGTTGCTAGCTGATAAACTGCCAGGGAGCCTCAGGGACAGGGTAACAGCTGTGGAGGGTGGCTCTGGTTGGCTTGGTGGCCGAAGAGGAAGGTGGGAGAATCAGGTGAATGCATCTGCAGCTGACAGCTGTGAGGGGAGAAGCACAGTGATGGTCATTTACGTAGCAGTGGGTATCCCTTGTTGCCTGCTCCCCTCAGAGACCTGGCAGTGCTTGCTCAGAGCATTTGAGGCCAGTGTTGGAGAAGGGTGTTGTTCCCTGTCTTTTAATTTCTCAGAAAGTAGTGACTAATGAGATATCTTAGAATCTGTTTTCACCTTTAACAAAAATCAAAACGACCCCAAGAATGAAACCAAACCTAGAGGAGTGGGGAGCAGTGTCTGGGGGTGGCTTTCTTTTCCTTTTTGAGTCAAGTAACTCTGCCCGCCATCATCCAGGTCACTGACACATGTCTGCACACTGAGGTCCCACATGACACACAGAGTGAGTGAGTCAGGAGCCAGTGAGATAGATGGCTCAGTAGGTGACAGCTCAGCACAAGCCCAACAAGCTGAGTTCCATCCCCTAGAACTCATGGTGGAAGGAGAACCAACTCCCAAAAATGGTCTCTGAGGTCCACATGCATGCTATGCCATACACACACACCACATGCAATAATATGAATTTTTTTTTTTTTAAAGTTCAGGTTCTGGGAGATGGTTCAGCAGTAGACACTTGCTGCCAGGATGAACTACTTGAATTCAATCCCCAAGACCCACACTGAGGAAGGAGAAAATTGACTCCTGAAAGTTGTCCTCTGACCTCCACATGTACAACCCCTCCCATAAATAATACATATAATTTTTAAAAAAATGTTATTTTGGGGGGAGTGGTGGCACAGACCTTTAATCCTAGTACTGGGGAGGCAGACGTAGGAGGATCTCTGAGAGTTCCATGGTAGCCAGGGCTATGCAGGGAGACCTTTTCTCAAAAACAAGTTCTTTTGCAAACTTATAAACAAATAAAAACAAAGATGTGACCTCAGAGCCACTGCACTGGTTGTAGGATGCAAAAGTGATCTGGCAAGTCCTTATCTGGTGACCTGCTCCAATGCAGGAGAATCCAACTGAGAACCGTGAAGGGCTCTAAGGGGATCTTCAAATGTGTGGAAGAGAAACTTATGTTAGACGGCATTTTGTATTAACTCAATTTACACTCACCCCTCCCCCCACTAAAGTGACTCTCTGGTGACAACCTGGCTGTAACTCTGTTATTAGTTGATCTAGAAGTTGCTCCAGTCAGTACATACAGGCCTGTTTTACACTGCATGCAAATGGCTGTACTGTCATAGCAAAATGGAAAGAGAAACATAACCATAAAAAAGTAAAGTAGAAAACAACTTTACAAACCAAGAATATAGCATTTTATTCATTTCCAGATTATGCGTATTACACAACATATACATATATTTAGATAATATATAAAAGAAAGAATAAATTGTAGGAAGAAATATTGGTCTGAATCTGCCTTGTAGGACGTCTTTAAATCCGTGCATTTGTTGTGCGTGTGTCTCTCACATGCCAGGGCAGGCAGCACAGGAAACCCCAGCAGTTGTATGTCACTCAAAGCTCTGCTTTCCCCACTGAACTTAGAATGCAAGTAACAGAACTGTGGCATGGTCACTGGTGTCCATGACAAAGACACGAAGTAGTAAATGAGCCATAGCACAGTGGATTATTTAAATGTTTTTGCATTGTCTCCATGTAGTTTTTTTAAACTAAGAGTCATGTCCAGAGTCTGTCCCCCTTAGATGCCATCCAGTTATTGCTGAAGGAGAAAAGCAGAAAAGAGCAATCAGTTTCAGCTATTAGAAAACTGAAGGTCAATGTCACCAGTCCCCTATTTCTGGTGATAACCAGTGGACACTGGGCTGTGGGGACACAAGCATAGCTGGAACAGGAAAGTGCATGCAAAGTGTCCAAAATTGTACACTGCTTGCTCATTGAGGCTGACAAAGAATCAGCCAGAGGGTATTCTTCCAAGAAGACCCATGGCCTGAGAAGGGAAGGGGAGATGCACTGTGGTGGGGGAAGCAACAGAACAGGCCACAGCCCATCCTCAGCTTGGTGCTGCTATGCTGGAAGGAGAACTAAGAGATGCCAGCAAGTCTCCAGTGCCAACTCAGTCAAGGGAATGTCCTAGGCCATGGCTCCCCATCCCTCTGCCTTCCTTAAGGAAGGATGTCTTACTTTGGCCTTGTTCTGAACTGGAAGATACAGTTTGAACTCTGCCGGGAGCTCATCTTCTGAGTAGAGTCTGTCTGAGAAGTAAACCCTTCGGATACGACAATTTGCATGGATCTGCAGAAAAAAGACTCATTTTGACAGCTAAATACAACTGCTTGCTCTTTGCCTGATTCTCCCAGAAGCCCTCTCATGGTACTCCCAAAACTTTATCTCCATTAGCAAACTGGCTTTGCTTTGGGGTAGACTCCAACAAGAGGGGGACTCAGGGGCTGGAGAGATGGTTCATTGGTTAAGATAACTTATTGTTCATGCAGAAAGAAGACCTAGGTTCAATTCCCAGTACCCACACCATGGCTCACATCTATCTGTAACTCCAGTTCTAGAGGATCTGATACTCTCTTGTGACCTACTCAGACAAACATGTAGTGCACATACATGCAGGGAAAATATTCATATACATAAAACAATCTAAAAAAATTCAAGGGGATTGCTGGGCATTGGTGGCACACTCCTTTAATCCCAAACTTGGGAGGCAGAGGCAGGCGGGTCTCTGTGAGTTCGAGGCCAGCCTGGTCTACAGAGTGAGTGCCAGGATAGGCTCCAAAGCTACACAGAGAAACCCTGTCTTGAAAAACCAAAAAAGAAAAGAAAAGGAAAGAAAAAAAATCAAGGGTGTTAGAGAGTTGGCTCAGTAAGAACACTTGTTGCTCTTGCAAAGGACCCAGGTTCAGTTCCTAGCACCCACACAGTACATAGCTCACAACCATCCCTATCTCTAGTTTTTGGAATCCAATAGCCTCTTCTGGACTTCTAGGACACCAAGCATGAACATGGTACACAGATGTACTTGCAGGCAAAGCACACATACACATAAAATAAATGTAAAAATTTTTAGAAAAAAAAAGAAAGGATTTTGATTTGAATTTATCTTGTTTAAGTAGACCTCAGAATATCCTCTGAACCTTTTAGAGGCCCAAACCCCCTGAACAGTGCCTTGGGAACTTTGGCTACAAGCCCCACATTGCTCTGTCACATGTGTCATAAGCCAGCCAGCCAACCAGCCAGCCAGCCAGAGTGTGTCCTAGAGCCCCTAGTATGAAAACGACATGTGTGAAAGGCAAAGTACCTGCACTCTCAGGGTCTCGATGTAGTTTGTGCCATACGCCCGCCGGGTGAAATCAGATAAGTTGAACTGAATCTGGTTCCAGCCATCATCCAGCCGCATGGGCATGGTACAGATGAAAGGCTTGACTCGGGTGGTGCTCTGGTAGTTACTTGCTCGAAACCGCCGACGAACATTTTTGTCATCTAGTACCTGTAGCACCCAGAGAAAGCCCACACTAGTTCCATGTTCTCAGGCTCAGACAAGTGTTAAGTCAAGAATCCGAGCCTCCACAGCCTGGTTCCCAAGGCCAAACCCCAGGGAGAATAAACAGGCCTGAGACAGGTCACACTGTCACAGATGGCCTGGAAGTAGTAAGTTTATCTTATTTGTTGTCAAGACAACAGCAGCTGCAAGCCGGGTGGTGGTGGCTCACGCCTTTAATCCCAGCACTTGGGAGGCAGAGGCAGGGTCTCTGTGAGTTCGAGGCCAGCCTGGTCTACAAGAGCCAGTTCCAGGACAGCCCCCAAAGCCACAGAGAAACCCTGTCTCAAAAAAAAAAAAAACAAAAAACAAGGCAACAGCAGCTGCACTGACTGCCACAGCCAGTAGACACTCAGACCATAGAATGATTTCATATTTCTTCCCTCTAAAAGCTTAAGCTCTGAACTCTTGTAGCTATTGATTAGACTTTCTGGGTACTATTTCTTTTGAAACCTCACATTAAAACATTGATTTTGAATACCAAATTTACACCCTAAGAGAACTTCACTGAGCTTTAGCAGAGGCAGAAAGAGCGTATGTACAAAAGGATAACATGCATTCTTAGAGCCTGTTTCTCCCGCACACTCACCTGTACTTCAAATGTAAAATACTTCTTCAGGTTTTTGATGATCATGACAAGGAAAGGCAGTTTGATTCCCAGTGTCTTCTTGGGGTCTGCAGGACATGTGATGTATGTGGTGCTGTCAGCAGAAACACCAGGGAATGGGTTACTCGTCTTTCTTCCTTTGGTGTGTACAATACCACATGATCCAAGAGTAAGAATTACAAACTGGATCTAAAGGGATCAACTTTGTCACCTAATGAACCCCTCAACAGTTCAGTTAATCAACATTTTTTAAAATGCCAGGACTGGCAAGACAGACCAGTGGGTAAAGGTACTTGTGGTTAAACCTGATGACCAGTCTGATCCCTGGGGCCCACATGGTAGAAGTAGAAAACTCTGATCTCCAAACACACACCATGGCATGAGCACCATCCTCCCTTCCCTACATCCACATACAAAATAAACAAAATAAAAAGTTAAATGTCAAGTGTAGTGATCTGAAAGACTGTTGGAGGATAGGAGATCAAGGCTAGTTTGGGCAACATAAAAAGATCACATCTTTAAAAATCAAACCCAGCCAGGTGGTGGTGATGCACACCTTTAATCCCAGCATTTGGGAAGCAGATCTCTGTGAGTTTGAGGCCAGCCTGGTGTACATAGTAAGTTCCAAGACAGACAGGGCTACATAATGAGACCCTGTCTTGAACCCTCCACCCAGAAAAAAATCAAAACAAAACAAACCAAGAACCGACTCAAACAACTTTAGACCAACAATAAAGTATGGAAAAACAGTCTGGGAAGTTCTTCCAGTAAAAGAAGACTTCAATTCGACAGGTGATGGTGGCGCACGCCTTTAATCCCAACACTCGGGAGGCAGAGGCAGGCGGATCTCTGTGAGTTCAAGACCAGCCTGGTCTACAGAGCAAGTTCTAGAACAGCCTACAAAGCTACACAGAGAAACCCTGTCTCCAAAAAAAGACTTCAATTCTAAGGTAAATATGACATGATAGAAAATTTAAAAATTGGGTTATTGAAAACCGTAACAGCCGCAGCTGGGTGATCAGAGCATTCTTCTATACTCAGGGTGAACAGTAATAACACAGCTAACTGCTCTCTATGCTGGGCATGGGTCTAAGAGTCACAGTTAATCTTCACAGGAACCCTACAGGAAAACACCCCCATTTTGCAGACGAGGAAACTAAAGCTGAGATCAAGCAAACTGCCTGAGATAAGCAGTAAGCAGTGCAGGGGATCCTCAGACAGCCGATCCTGTTGACACTGGGGCATACTGCCCTCCCGATGCAGCACTTTTAGAGAATGAAGCTGGCGACCTACCTGACATTTGTCCCTTCAATCTCTAGCACCAGGGACTGGATGTCATTGTCAGTGATTCTTTTGATGTGGCCATTCCGTACCTATAAAGAAGAAAATCTGTCAGTGTTGCAGTGTTCGACAACAGCCTTATAAAAACTTTGAAGGTTGAATGAGCCCATTAGAGGAAAAGTGGACTAAGACACATGACATACAAGTTGGCAACAGCATGTCAAAGCCTATGAACAAGGGAGTATGTTATTCCCTCTACCTGCCATTTGGAATAAATTCCTTTCTGATTCGGGCTCAGCTAACATTTACTCTTTATTCTGTAACAGCAAAGTTCATGTATATTCTTATTCAACTCCTACACAGCAATAAAAAAACAAAGGCAAAGTGATAAAAGTCCCAAAGTCCCATTCTCAGATATGAATGTGGCATCCAAGGACTGTAAATGGGAGATCCTAAGTAGGAGACTGGGCATCCTAGAACTTCCAGCAACCATAGCTTCTTTGTCCACAAAGATTAATAAACTACTGTCAGCCAAGCATGGTGGTGCATGCCTTTAATCCCAGCACTTCAGAGGCAGAGGCAGAGGCAGAGGCAGGTACATCTCTGTGAGTTCGAGGCCAGCCTGTCTATATAGTAAATTCTAAGACAGTCAGGGCTATGTAAAGAGGCCCTGTCTTAAAAATAAAAAACAACAAAATGGTTACTAAGAAGGAAGGCAGCAGTTGAAAGCAGTATTCCCAGCTTTGCCTGTTGGTGCACACCTCAAATCTAACTACTAGAAAGCTAAGGCAGGCGATTACTCTGAATTATAGGCCAGCCTGGGCTACATCAAGACCTTGTCTCAAAGAAAATGTGTATTCATGTGTGTGTGTGTGTGTATGTGTGTCCCTTGAGTTTACTCCTACTTTTTCCTTATGTAATTTTATACTTTTCTTAAGTATGAGTTCAGATCCTTTCCATACCATGTACAGACATCTTCATTTTCAGTCAACTGATCTCTCTCTCTTCTGATTTTCTTTCCTGGCTCATGTTGCCTAGATGCCGTAATTTAGCACTATACATGCATGCATGCATGCATTCATACTATATATTACACATTAAATATTAACTTATTTTCTCAAAATAATTAGGAATAACAAAGTATTTCTGAGCACCTAACTCAGAAGCAGCTAATATGGAAACAATCAATAGGTGTAGAAGAGGCAACAGGAAAAAGAAAAACATTTCTTCTGGGTATGACAAAAATGGCAGTGTTGGCTTCATAATCAATGACTCAATCCCCTTGTTCATTACTGATTACAATTTTACTTTCCATTACATTTGCATATAGAGAGAAAGCACCATGAGCCTGACAATAGTCTTTTGGGATATTTGTACACTGTGTGAAGACATACTTCTGTGATTGGTTTGATAAAGAGCTGAACAGCCAATAGCTAGGCAGGAAGGTGGGACTTCCAGTCAGAGAAAGGAAATAGTAGTAGATAACTGAGGTAGAGAGTAGGCACCAGAGGGGGTGGTGTAGGTATGGACAAACAAAATGAAAACAAAAAAACAAACAAACAAACAAAAAACAGTAAAAAGTTACATGGCAAAACACAGATTAATATAAATGGGTTAATTTAAAAGGGCTGGCGGCACAAGCCTAAGCTAAGGCCAAGCCAAGCTTTCATAATTAAGTCTCCATGTTGTTCTTTATGAGCTGGCAGTGGACAACAAAGCTTACTACACAATACTTTTCCACACAGCTCTGTGCTTTCCCATCAGTTTCTGTGTGCTCTGTCACTGAGTTTGATCTATTCTCATTGTATGTGGTGGAACCACCACCCACCCTGCTCTACAACTGCAGTGGACTCGTCTGTGAACCTCAGCCAAGAGTAGGATCAAATACCATGCAGCCTTAGGATCTTCTTCAGTGCTCAGTTCTGTGTGAGGCATAAGCTAAGCATTCAAATATGTGCTGACTCTGGAATCTGTCACCTTAAAAGTTGGCACATCTGAATAGGTTCAAGGAGGGCTTTAAACATTCCTGGATAACATATCGACCATGGACTATTATAGGAAGTGGGAGAGCATGTGAGCGTCACAAAGCACGTGAAGCTAGTGGTGTAAGAATGTGTCTTATAAAACACCCTTTGGGCCATTTTCAGGCACAGAATGCTGGGCTAGATGGGCCTCTCAGTTCTGCCAATGGAGCAGTTCTTGGGTTGTCAAGACCCAAATGTCACATTGAAAAGCTTCTCAAACAAAGCTGGCCACATTCAATGTCCTCCTGCTTTGAATTCTGGGCCACTTTCCAACAGAGATTAGGAACACAAAGGCTCAAGTCTGTGTAGGACATGCCAGCACTGCCCACCTCTTTCCCCAATGTTCCCAACTAAGGTAGCAATATTTCTTTCTCCTCTATATTTTGTGGAAAATCAGGCAACTTATTGAATGAGGAATCTGTCAAGAAATTATTTACAAATAATGTGCTATAACTCTACTGTTAAGAACTGGGAACATTCCAATAAGATACAATATTAGTTTTACACCATACCACTAGTTATTCTCAATAGCATAAACATTCCTTCTTTAAAAGGTAGCTACAAGGGCAGGGAATTCAAGAGACTAATAAGTAATTAGGGCCTCAAGTCTACTACTATTGCTAAAAGGCAACATGTTGCTATTTATCCAACATTGTTTCAAATCATGGAGTTAATCTTAACATTTCCGAAAAGTTCTCTGTCTAGAGTCAACAAGAGGTCTCCCTTGGCTCAGAAAGCAGCCAGTTCTCACAGAGAGGAACTGTGAGGAAATTGGCCTTCTGCCCTTCTCCAAGTTTACAGCTTGCAAATCTGATCCACTCAAGTCCTTAGAAAGGGAACAATGCCTTACAAAGCACACAGAGGACAACAGTGGGAGCTAGGACAGACTCTAGAATCCCTGGGCCTCTCCTCACCCAGAGGCAAGTGAACCTGATTTGTTAGTAAATCACACCCCCCCCCCTTAAGACCCCTTTCAAGGGGCTGCAAACACAAACTCACTGGAAAGAAAGGAGTGGAGTGCTGATTGACTGGGATATGAGAGTTCAAGGACAGGAAACTTCTCAAAGTCTCTTCTCTAAAGCTCTTAAACAAAGGAGTGGTTCTTGGGGCAAGGTTTCCACCCTCTGCCCTCTAGAAATGACTACATTAAATTACAGACTAAGCTGGGGCGTGGTAGTGCATGCCTGTAAACCTAGCACTTGGAAACTAGAAGGATCTCAGTAAGTTTTGAGGCTAGCCTGGTGTACATAGAAAATTTCTTGCTAGCCAGGGCTACACAGTAAGACCCTGTCTCCAACAAAAACAAAGCCAAACAAAGACACAGGCTGTCACCGCCTTCAATTGTCCAGGCCCTCCAGGAAGTCAGCCCATCCCTCTGAGCAGCTCCTCATAAACACATGTGGTAAGATGTATGTCTCTGAAAGTCTCAACTTCCTTTCCTTAGCTCAGAGTTCACTGGGCAGGCCTGGCCCTCGGATGAACATAAAAATGTATCTGTTGACACTTAGGGCCCAAGGTGGAAGCAGATTTCACTCAACTTTTTCCTCTAATCAGTGTGCACCACTTCTAACATTAATCCTTTCATCCATGATATACTATCACAATCAGTGTTGCCTATGAGAGACTTATTTTTTCTTTTTTCTTTTTTCTTTTTTTGGCTTTACTATCCTGTGGTGATATATTATTTATGATTTATTAAAGCTTGTCTGAGGATTCAGAAATCAAAGTTAGCCACAAGCCATAGAAGTCAGGCACACACCTTTAATCCCAGCAGCCAGAAACTAGGAGGTATTGGCACACACCTTTAATCCTAGAACTCAGGATTAAGAGGATCTCTGTGAGTTCAAGGCCACCCAGATTTACAGAGATTGATCCAGTCCTAAAGAGAAACAGCTCACACAAAGATGATCTCAGCACCTGGAATCACACGCCTTTTATCCTAGCATTAGGGAGGTATATAAGATAGGAGCAGGGTCTCAGTATCAGGCATTCATTCTCCATCCACACGGAGGATAGGAAGCCATTCAGTCTCAGGATTCTCCAGCCACGCTGAGGAGAGGCAGCAGGACTAGCCCTTTCAGCCTGAGGTAGTGGTAAGAGCTAGTAGCCTACTACACTACTTTGCTTTTCTGTTCTTCAGCTTGAAGTCTGAACCCAAATACTGGGTCTTTTATTTTTCATGTTACACTATCCAGTGTGATGGAGATGCACCTCTGGATGTCCACTAGGGTGCTTCCAGAGAAGTTTAAATGAGGAGTGAAGACCCACTCTGAAAGTGGGTGGCACAATCCATCTTCTGCTCTTACTCCATCATTGAACAAAAAGGGCAAAAATAAGATTACAGTCAAAATTCCTGGTCTGATTCCTGGTCTTCACAGGTGTGGAGTCCTAGATGCACATTCCTGGCTGATGCCTATAATCTTAGCACTTAGGAGATTGAGGCAGGAAGACTGACACACGTTTATGACTACCTTAGGCTTTGTAACTCCAGGGTAGCCTGGGCTATATTGTGAAGACCTTGTCTTGTATGAATCCCAGCATCCACATAAAAGTGGGGCACACCTTTAATCCCAGCACCCAGGAGGCATAGGCAGAGGCAGGTGGATTTCTGTGACTTTCAGGACAGCCAGGACTGTTACAAAAGAAAGCCTATCTCTAAAAACAAAAACAAAAACAAAAACAAAAAAAAGAAAAAGAAAAGAAAGAAAGAAAGAAAAAAGCTGGGTGTGGCAATGTGCTGCCTATAATCCCAGCACTGGGAGGTGGGGGTTGGGTAGACAGGAAGATCCCTGAGTTCACTGGTTAGCCACCTTAAAAGGCATCCAGTGTCCACCTCTAGCCTCCACAAGTAAACACATAGCACATATACTCCACACATGTGCATGTACACATAACTACCCATCAACACAAGAAAAAAATGAAAAAAAAATGAATGGATTTCTTAATGACATACGAAAATGTGATTATATTTTAATTCTTATTTATTCCTATGAACCATGACCCCTCCCAGCCCCCTCTCATCCGACACATTAAGTATGTGGAGGTTTTTGAACCCAATTACTGGCAAT